CCCAATTCCCCAATAAAATCTTAAAAAAAAATTTGAGCTATAGTACAAAGTGCTATAAAGTTATTAAAACAGAATGATGTGATAGTGTGATAGCAATGAGAGGTTGAGAGAGTAGGGGATAATTCAACACATTCGAACAGAAACTTGAATAAGTAGTCAGCTGTCCAATGAACCAGGGTTAAGACCATTCCTACACCAACCACGCTTACATCATTGTATCAAGTAAATCAGATTTCCTCATCATAATGCATTTTCATTAAAAGTAACTATTTATGAATCCTAATATTGTACACATTTTATTGCATAATGATTTTGTTCTTTTATCCAAGTTTTAAATCTGGTCCAGACGTAAGGGGACAATACATAAACATGATACCCCCAGAAAACACACAGAATCCCAATATATTTTTCCATATAAAATTTGCATTTGACAGTTTTGTTAATTTTTTAAAAATCTTAAATAGCTGTCCTGATGGAAATTATGTGAACTCTAGTAAGGAAATTATCATAAAATGTATTTTTTACAGCCAAAATAACCTTGAATAAAACAAACATATACCTGAATATAATGGCGAAGAACATACAGAATTTCTCCAATGTGAGCTTTTTCAGACAATACTGTGTGAAATTTACCAAATACTCTGGTACCCATTTCTGCATAGAGAATTACCACTGGTAAGTTCTCTTTGTTTGTAGGAAATTTATGGTCTCCTTTAAAAAGATAAGGTCTGGGCCTAAAATGAAAACACAAACTTTTAAAAGAATTGAAAGTAAAGAGCATATGAGAAATATATCATGATATTCTATAATTTATGCTTATCAAAGAACTTACAGGGGCAGGAGGGTGGGGATATGGGAATAAAAATAAAAGAAAACAAAACTCATGCTCTTACCCATTATAATATGATACTTGAGACAAGTTTTGTACAATACAATTTACACCATCACTGTTACTGGATGATGTAATAAAACACAAAATCATAAGAGTTCAATTAGAAAATAAAATATTTAAATGAGGTTATTAATTCTCTCATATATACAATAATTGTAAAAGAGGTAGACAAGAGAAATATGTATATGGCCTGAGGGAGCCAGCAAAAAAAAAATAGATGAACACAGCAACTTTTAAGTTGCTTTCTATTGATTTGCTTGGGTTTCATAAACTAGATGTGTATAGGATTCTTTTTCATTTATCGACATATAACAAAATTTAAAGCATGTTTATATTACATCCTATCTTATTATATGCTTATATTGTTCTGTATGTAAGGAAAATTAATTTGTAGTCAGAAGTAGATAATATTTTCTTTACATTTTTAACTCTCCCATCATGGTTACAACGTTATTGTATGCAGTAAGAATGAGAATTCCCAAAATCATAATTTAAAAGGAAACTGAGTATTTTTATCCAGAAGTATAATTTTAAATATGAAAAAATAAAATACAATATTACATTAATTATTTGAGATAAACTGAAACTGATAAAATCTTTTGGTGATCACCACTGTATGATATTCTATAGAGAAACATTCCTATAATATTTATGATAAACTCAGAGACATACTTTCTACAATGAACTATGGTAAATAAAATAACTAATTATTCAGTTTTCTGACATGGCTGGAAAGCTGTACATGTATAGATTATATCTTCTATTAGAGAGAAACTCAAATTTCTATTTTGTTCAATTATTATAGAATAAGGATTGCCAGTAGAAATAACTTAACTTTTACATTTAAAATGGATAAATGACTATTGGTCCTGATAACTGACTTAAGTTACTATAAATCAAAAGCACTCAAGTATTCAATAAAACTTCTTAATTAACAGAATAATGAAAACGTCCCATTAATTATTTGGCTTAAAGTTTGTGATATTACTTGACATCAGTATGGAGTACTATGTTTATTTCAGGTTTGTGAAATTATAATCAAGTGTCTTTGCAGTGGTTTACAGTTTGGTTCTGATAGTACGTATGCATACTCAACTACTTTTTTATTTTAATAAATGTTTTTTTGAAGTATAAAAGTTTTACATGGGGGGGAGAGAAAAATAATTTTCTTCCTACCTTTTTAAGTTCTGACTGGACTAATAATTAAATTAATATGAGGCAGGTTAACAGGAGAGAATGTCAAAATGTATTCTGTAAGTCCATGCAGAAGTACCATATGAATATGGACCCGAAAGCAGACTGGGCAGTTACGGCACACAGATGCCATCCTGAGCTAGGGACGGGCGGGGCTGATGCTTCAAAGGGCAGGAAGGTCATTCACACGGAGATAGAAAAGCAAATATTTGGTAAATAAATGTTTGCTGGGCCATCTCTAATAATGGGACACAGAGAAGACTTTGATGAAAATGGCCTTGCTCAGTTCCTCCCTGTCTATCACATTTAGTTCATACTAAACTATAGTTATCTATGATAATAGCTCCCTTCCTGGAGTAGGTCCTCTGTCTAAATTCTTTTAGGCAGTTCCAGGAAGGTCAAAGGTTCTTTCTGAGCTTTTTGTTTCTTAAAAATGACCAGCTTAAAATAATATCCCAAAAGGTATATTTTGGGATGGCAAATTTTGCTTCCCCTTATACACATTCATTCACTTTTATCTGATTTAATTACTAACATTTAACACAAGATATGATTTCTGAAATATTACTGTCAATGTTTAGGTATTTGAAACATGAAACAAATCAAATTTTATCAGTCTCAAATAATATTTGACTTCACTATTAATCTCTTCTACAACAGATGAAGAGATACAAATGTGCAAAACAAGAGAAACTGAATTAGTTGCCATTCTTCATAAAATCCTATTAATAAATACAAAAAGAATATAACAGTAAAATCATACTTCACATTTAAAAAGAGAAATGAAAGAATCTTAAACTAGGTGAAATTATTGAAATCATTCTCATTTTCACTGATTCCTTGGAACTCAAATGGCACAAATTCAAATAGATTACCATCAAAAATTGATTTTTACCAAATCAGTACTATAGAAGTACATTTAGTAATTTAAACAAGGTATCATATGTATATATATGTATATATACATATTTTTTAAGGTCTTATTGGGGAATTAAGGGAGGGGAACAGCATTGGATAATCGGGGAAGGGGTACAGAAAAGTTGCTGTCCTTTTGTTCTTCAGTCTAGTTGTGGAGGATGTCACTTCACTGGCCCATGTTGGTATTATCATTGCGCTCTTGAAGCAGATCGGTTGCCAGCCACTGGACGGCCACTCACGGCGGCTCTTGGCAGCTCACACCAGCTGCTGGCAGCTCACGTTGGCTGCCAGTCACTCACGGTAGCTCACAGTAGCCCTCTGCAGACTCACTGCAGCCTACGCCATCGCTGGCGACTCACGGCAGCCCAGCTCCAGGTCAAGCTGTTGTTCACCATCTTAGCTGTAGAGGGCGCAGCGTCACTGGCCCTAATGTGGGATCCGAACTGGGGCCCTGCTGCTCAGAGCTGGCGTCTCAAGCCAGCTCTTAACCAATGTGCCACTTGGTGGGCCCCAGGGTATCTTATATTTTAATATTAGTATGAAAGGTAATATTTTCAAATAATTTACTATTGCTGGTAATTGGAAAAGCAGCTAATGAAACAATGCTAGTAGATCAATCCTGAGGTTGAATATAAAAGCAAAAATTAGAAGAAATGGAATAGATTTTCCAGAGGCAAAGGTAAGGGCTTGTCTACCAGTTGTTCGTGAGTCTGTAATAGAGAGCACCTTCCTGCACCCATACACACATACCTTTCAAAGTTTGTTACTATTACTTCAGGAACTGGTACATCATAGGTTAAAAAAAAAATTACCCTACACCCATAGAGAATTACTGGGTAAGAAGGAAATAGTCTTTAAAAATTGAATAGGTTACATTTGAAAATAGAAATTTTCACTTATTGAATTGACTCTTATACAGGAAAATAATACAAATTAGCAGTGGTGAAAATATTAGAAATGGGCCGGCTGAGTGGCTCAGTTGGTTAAGAACGTAAGCTCTGAGCAACAGGGTCACCGGTTCAATTCCCACATGGGCCAGTGAGCTACGCCGAGCTGAGCTGCCGATGAGCTGCCAACAGGTGGCAGGATGGTCAGCTAGTGAGAGCACGTGCTCCTAACAACAAGGTTGCTGGTTCTACTCCCGCATGGGATGGTGGGCTACACCCACCCGCAACTGAAATTGAACACAGCACCTTAAGCTGAGAGGCTGAAAGCTGCCGTTGGGAGGCCAGATGGCGACTGGACTTGGAGCTGAGCTAGCTGCACCCCCCACAACTAAGACTGAGGAATAACAACTTGGCTGTTTCCCTTCCCCAATTACCCAATAAAAAAAATTAAAAAAAAAAACCACATTAGAAATGAAGTGTAAAACATAACCAACTGTCTTAAGAACAATTTTGAAGTATGTGCTAATTTTAAATCATACACTTATTTATCTAGTGATTCCAGTTTTAGAAATTTACCTAAGACAATACCAAGGTAACTATATAAAGATACATGTATAAGGACATTCAATTAGGTAGTGTTTATAGTAGAAGAAAATGTAAAATATCTTATATCTATCAGAAAGGGTCATATAATTAAATGTACTTGTTAATTCAACTATTATACAATTCATTTGATAAATATTTTTGAGCATCTACTATGTGTCAGGTGGAAATACAACAAACAATATATACTGGTCCTGCTGCACAATGACCAAGCATACCTGTATTTATATTTATTTATGTGTAAGGCATGTAAGGATGTATAATTTATTGAGGGAAGGTTTTAAGATATCCTTTAAAGTACAATTCCATGTTGGTTAAAATATACATATATATTTACATGTTCATATATGCATTAAAAAAGAAGAAAAGAATATACCAAACTGTTAACAGAATTATGGGTCATTTTGCCTATCTGCTTTGCATTTTTCTGAAGTATCTGAATACTTTTATAATGACCACATATAATTTTTTTTTTACTTTAAAAGTACACTTACCATTTTAGACAAAAAGTTTAAAGTTACAAAAGATGAGGGGCATGCTGACTTGAAGTGGCATTTGGAGAGCAGTCCCTATTCACTACATTTCCCAGAATCTCCAAATAATATTTTCAGACACAGAAAAAGACAAAAGCTCTTAAATGAAGTTGAAAGCTAATATAAATCTTAAACATAATTTGGGAGCAAAATCTACTAACTATAAAATTTACGCAGTTTAATTTAGAATCATAATTGATGGTCAGCCTTACCACTTAAAGCATAAAAGCTTACAACTTGAAACACAATATACTAGTCAAAAGGAAAGCTGGAACGATTCTTGTCCCAGGGTTCAAAGATCCCTGGTTTGGATCTGCCCAGATCCAAATAATACACTAAAATGTGATTTATATATCTGGGAGAAAGTAACAGCAATCATCACCATTGTAAATGCGTATAACTTTGTCCCCTTGCTTCCAACAAGGAAATAAAATTTACTATTAAGGAGCTTTTTAGAAAAATAGTACATGAGAATATCACAAAGGCAACTTTGATGCCCTAAGTGTGTTATGATTGAGGAGATAAAAAAGGAAAATAAACCAAATGTTTAGCTCAACCAAAGGCAAGAGACTCAAATAATGAATGCAAAAGGTAATAAATTAGAACAATGGCAAAAAAAAAAGAGAATAAATTCTATCAGTCATTTCTTTAAAAAAACAGAAAAATCTAATCTGAAAAAACTGAAAGAAAATGAAAACTGAAGAAAATTTAGCAATGAGAAACATCTACAGAGAGGGAAAATATTAAAATATTTATATTACCATAAATACATATGCAAATACATAAATCATTTATGCAAATAAGAAAAAGCAGCCAACCATTGGTCAATATTGATAGTATGTCATAAAACAAGGATTATGTGACTAAGGTTCACAAAAAGAAAAAAATGTATTAATCTAATGCTTCTGTCAGGCGAGGGAATTTTATTTTACCCTACTTTACAAGCTACCAAGTTGCCTTTTCCTGTTTCATGGGTGCTGGCAGAAAACATGAGATTTCTAGGTCAGAAACAGAAAACTTTACTACTAACTGCACACAAGCAGCATGAGCATGTTTGCATTGGTCCCCCATGGTCCTCACATTCCATGGGGTGAAATGGAACCACAGATGCTACAATGCTAATCCCTGTATTCATTTGTATAAAACACTTGGGAGAAGTAAAAACAAAGGTTTTGAACAATACATTCTAAAAATGCAACTCTATATTATTGTTTTATTATTAATTTTTTATTTCCAAGGTACATATTTCAATTTATATTTAAAGAGATATAGTCCGAATAAGTCCATAGTTCTATATGTTTACTGTTTATATAAAACTTATCTATTTTATGGTATTTTATATTCTAAAATCACAAGCTAATCAAGACAAAATACTGAACATACTTATATATTTTAGAAAAACAACTCAGATGACCATCTCATACATATGCAGCTTTTCAATATACAGCACATTCTTTAGCATACAATATCCTAAAATATTAAAATTTTGTATTATAAAAAATGTCTGGTCTTTTGACCCTCAACTCTTTATAAACCACATCTTTCACTATAGGCTATCCTTCATTTACCTTGAAGTGGCCTTCTTCAGCAGCTTTTTAATCTCATTAATTTTACAGGTGTGTTTTTTATGGATAACCACAAATGCATCACAACCATCTGGTGGTGGTGGCTCATCAGCTGCAATCTAAGATTTCAAAGGTTATATTTAGCTACAGTAGTTGATAATTGCAATATGATTTTAAAAACTTGCACGTTACTTTGATTAAAATAACTCATCAACTACTATTGAGTTATTGCTCTAATTAAAGTAAAAAATATCTATATGCAGGCAGAATAAAAAAATTAACAAAATCAACTTTATAGTGAAAAATACATACTTCTAAGTTGTTGAAAATGTTTCATTAAATTAAAATTTCCACTATATGAAAATTCATGTTAATGCTCTGTCCTAATAATTTCCTTATCCCAAATAACTATAAAATTACATAATACATTCAATTATATTATAATCAATAACAATGATAATATAATCAATGGCTATTATAAGTTTATAGACCCTTTTGAACTAAAGATATTCACTTAAGATAGATTTATGTACATAGCTAGCATGCTGCTTTGTCATATATATAGTTTGGGTATTTTTACATACCTGTTGAAACATCTGAATAGTTGGAGAGTATGCCCTTATAGAGAGAGCAAACTTTAAGAGATTGATTTGTAAATTGTCTAAGAATTGTCCAGCTTTCTTCAGGATTAAGTTATAATAAGAATACTCTGATTCTATGAAAAGAATTCAAAAGAAAAAGAAATTAGTATTGCATATTAAACACACTGACACATTTCTCTCACTATAATGTGAACTTAATGTCATATAATCATATCTTAAGTTTGGTTATAGATGGTGTTAGAGAAAAATGGAAAATCAAGATCTCTATTTTATTATTAACTTCTTATGGCTCTTCCAGTGAAGCACAAGCGATCAATACAGGCCCAGGTGAAAATAATCTTGCCATTAAAATCTATTTGGTTGTTTCCATGTCCTGGCCACTGTAATTAACGCTGCAATGAACATGTGATGGAAGGAGAACTGACTCTCAGTGGTGAGCACACAATGTGACACATAGATGATGTATTATAGAATAGTACACCTGAGACCTATGTAACTTTACTAACAATTGTCACCCCAATCAACTTTAACAACAAAAAAATTACTTGGAAAATGCCAGCATATCAGACCAATTCACTCCAAGGTTGTGGGGTTACAATACAAGAATAAGACACAGGCCCTATTTAAAATGTAAGAGGAGACTAAGAATAGCATTAAAAATTTAAAGAATAATATGACTGTTAATAAATTTTAAATTGCATGTATGAATACATTCTACCAAGATATAGTACACATAGCCAAGTGTAATTAGTGTGTCCAGAATATTTTTGGGGACAGAATTTGAACCAGATCTTAGAAAATAAGAGAAATGTCTTCTTGTCTGGAACAAACTAACTTGAAATGCTGGTTCCCTCCTCGAAACCTATCTCCAAAGATTACAAAGACCCAAAAGGATAAATCCTGGCATTTAATTAAACAACTCTTGGACACCCCTAGGGAGCTAGAGATCGTCTGGATGGGAGAGGGCGAAAGAGAACGGCAGCCTAGAGCTGAGGAGAGCCTGGTGGCACTAATGGGAATAAGCAGAAAGAAAACTAATTTTTTTTGCTCTACTTTTCTCTACTGCCCTGGGTGTAATCCTAATCTGCATTATTGCCATTGTGTCAGAGAACTTCAGTACCACTCCACTGCCAGCCAGAGGTGGTAAGGTAACAACAGAGCAGGTCTACAGCCCAGCGGTTACAGGTATCCATTGATGTGCCCCAGACATTCCCTGGTCATTTCTTCTCTCCTTTTCTCCTTGGCACTGGGTTACCAACTCATGGAAACTTCTCATACAAAAGAGCACAGTTGGGGTAGATCCAGAGCAGTTACCCAAAGGTCAGAATTCCCTGATGTGAAAGGGAGGACAAAAGTGGTGTATAACATCAGACACTCTACTTCTGGGAGGAGGAAGAGGATGCTGGCTGGAAGGAAACAGTTTTGGGAGGCAACACACTGGATTGTTGATGGATACAATGTTCACTACTTGTTTAAAAGGTGCTGGGCTCTTGACCCTCGGTTCCTTTCCTTACCACAACCCATTCATGGTGCAGGTGTCCCCTGGCCCTATACATTGCTGTATGAGAACTGGAGCTTGGGGGACCAGCAACAATATGTGAACATTGTGATTACTGCTTCTGCTTTGAGTAGTGAAGTCTTTTGTCTCTGACCCAGGGGTCTTGTGTCTTCGGTCAGCATCCATGAAACGCATCTGCTAGCTTGCAAGTAGGAAACAAGCTCAGACCCTTTACAGTACTTAACAGATTGGACAACAGATGGAATGCTGACAGATACACAGATTTTTGGAGGAGAAAAGACCCAACCCCACAGGACAATTAACAAGATTTGAGGGAAATTCTCGTAAATTGAAATTGGACATACTGACAAAATTGCATGGTCCTCCACTTTTGTTGCCTATTAATGAAAAGAAAGTAAGGAGGAGGTGTCAGGCCCAGAACTGGGCAGCAGATCCAAAGGCATTTGCCTAAATGATGTCTTAGTTGTTAATCTTCTCCACACAAGTAGACTTCTTCACCAATGATTCTGTCAACTTCAAGTCCACACCACTGTGACAACAATTACACAGACCCGTCTTCAGTTAAAGTTCTACCTTCTTCAAACAATAGGTACAGAGATGCACATCTACACTGAGTGAGAAGGAAGGAAATTTGTGACCACGATGGTCAGAAGGATTCAAAATCATTAGAACTTTGGTTTGCCTGGCAGATGAGAGGATGAAATACATAATGCAAAATTACAACCACCTATGATTCAACAACTCCCACAATCCGTCATGCCAACCTTAGATCCTTTCATAGATGACAGTAAAAAGTCTCAGAGTTATTGCAGTGGGTCCTGGCTGATAAAAGAGATCTACAGCCCACTTGGGAGGCTTCCCTTTGGTCAGTTATAATCTTTCAGCTCTGATCCTGGAGTCTCGCATTTCATGTCTTATGGCTGTCTGATGCTTGAAACGGTGGAAAGCTAAGTTTTTCGCTTGCAAGTAGGGTGAAAACTCAGGCCCTTTACAATTCTTGATAAAAAGCTCAAAAATGAGATGACTGAAGCACAGGGGGATATAAAAATAGTTCTGAAAGAACTGAGGAAAGAAGAAAAAATACTAGAAAATATAGGTTAAGTTAGAAGGAACAGAGTAAAAAGATGGCATGAAAAATAGAAAAAAATAATTGGATTACATGCAGGGAAAATGTGAAGAAAATAAAACAGTAATAAAAAAAGGAGAAAATGAAAAAAATAAATTGAAATTAAATGATAGATACAGAAGTCAGGCAAAGATCTAGAATATGTATAATTGTAACCCCAAAGCAGAAAATCAAGGGACTAGAATAGGATAAACAAAGAAAACTATAATCCAAGAAAATGCTCTAGAATTAAAAGGAGTAATGAATCTACATATCTAAAAATAAAGACTCATATTGCATTTAACACTTTTTGGTAAAACTATGGGACTCGAAAGTTAAAAATCTGAAGTATAAAATTCACATATAAACAGTTATGTATGTGAAGAACTCAAGGTCACTATTCCCAGGAGTTATTCATAGAGCATCAACTAGAGAGCAAACTATATATAACCAAGAAATAATTGGAGAAACTACAGCGCAAAGTCTGATGTTGAGCACTGAACATCCTTAATTGCAGAAATAAGCCTAATTAAGGAGTTCAGATCTACAGAAGACTATGTAAATGTACGCTCTGACAATGTAAAAAAATATACCACCAACAAAAACATAACAAAGGGGAAATTAAGTGGAAAGTAAAGTAAGCTCTGTGATTCCTCATAAATATCAGCTGGAAATAAAAGAATATCACTGAGACCAACAAAGCAAGGAGTAGGCGCTTATGTATACTAAGAATATTTATCAACAAAATCAGATGGTGGTAAGGGGAAGAAGAAATCATTACTGCTTGTAGGGGACTAAACAGACAATATTTAAAGAAAAAGGAGGCTAACAACTCAGGGCCTTCACATTTTATTCCTTTGGAATGAAACGCAGGAGGGTAGGGGGTGCATGTTCAGCTAACTCCTATTCAGCAAACCTCAGCTAAAATGTCATTTGTTTTGGACAGAGGTTTCACTGAACTCCCAAGTCTAGATCCTGTTCCACACTCTGATAGGACTGTATACCATGTCCAGATTAATTCCCAAAACTGTACTTGAAAATTATTTGTATAATTATTTGTTTGATGCTGTACTTCCCATTAAGCTATGAACTATGAAGGCAGGAATCTTTTCTATCCTTTCAATTGTACCTTTCCACTCCTGGCATACAAAATAGGCATTCAATACATTTCTGGAATTAATATTTAAGAATTGGTTTCTTCATTCTAGGCAATAATACTTTCCCAATCCAGTAATTTTAAAGAGATGTCATATGAGAATAGGTAGGCTCATTCACTCCTACTTCTTTAATAAACCATAGGTGATTTCTCTGAAGTTATGGTGCATTTCCCCCCAAGAATCAAAAAATAATGCAAGACTCACTGTCTACAGTAAAAGCGACATAAAATAAACCAAAGAAGAGATGCTATCTCAAAAACTGATCTTTAAAAAGACATAATATCTATAGGGCTAACAAGCAAATAGCCAAAATTAATGAATTAACACAACTGAATATGACTACATCAGCCAAAAGGGGATTGGTCATCCATGAAAACAGAGAAGAGAGGCAACAGAAACAAATGTGAGCAGTGCCTGACAACAGACATCAAATTTTGTTAAGGTCACTGTTAAGGCTGTCTTTAGTATAGTAATGGATGTAGGATTCCGGGGTTTATAGAAAGTAAACATCTGTAATTTAGTCTTAACTTGCAAGATCATCTCAATCATGAGATGGATGCATTGGGCTATTTCAGCTGATGTTTTAAAATTACTACATCCATGCTCACCAACTAACCTGTTGATAATGATTTTGCCCTTTCAATGTCATTCATCTGCAAGTTCACCTTTTACTTGACTTTTGCCAATTGGGAATATACATAAATCACTTGCATCTTAAAAAATAAAAAAGCAGCAGCAGCCTCCACAGTCAGCTACTGAGTCATCTTATTTTCTTCATAGTCAATCTTGAAAGATTTAACATTTCTTATCTCTACATCCTCAACTTCTACTCCTACTTCAACCTACTATAGTTTTCATTATCATAGCAGTGAAATTGTTCTCATAAAAGTCACCAATTTTCCGTTGTTAAAAGATCAATATTCATATTACATGATCTGTCTACGGTATTTGATAACATCTATCATTTACCACTTAATATTCTCCAGGCTTTTATACATCACACTTTCTAGGTTTACACCTACCTCTATGGGTACTCGTTCTTATATTGTGCATTCTTCCTTTGGTTATTTCTTTTTTTTTAAATCAATATTTCATTTCTTTTTATTGCTGAATAGTATTCTCTTGTATAGCTATACCACATTTTATTTATCCATTCATCAATTGGAAGGGCATTTAGGTTGTTTCCACATATTGGCTATTAAGAATAATGCTCCTATGAATATTTGTGTAGAAGTTTTTCTTTAAACACCTGTTTTTAGTTCTTTTGGGTACATATCTAGTGGTGGACTTGCTGTGTCATATGGAAACTCTCTGTTTAGCCTTTTGAGGAAC